TAAGCTTTTGGTTTTGTGTACATTTTTGTGCCGTGAAGATGACGGAGACGACGAAGCAAAAAAAGGGAAAAAGAGAAGACAGAGTCACGAGAGGCTTGTGTAAATGCGTTCGAGCCACAATTGTGTAAAAAATTGACTTTAAATTTCTATTTATACACCTTTAGTGTATCTCTCAACCAATTCTAGAGATGTAATAATGTGACAGATCAATTTTTCCTTTTTAAGCCTAATTATTGATGTTCACTTTACGCTAAAATAATTATAATCATCATTACAGATTTTACTTTCATTAAAGAGGATAAACAGAGATTAGAAAGAAAAAAAAGATAATGTTTTGCTATGATCTTCATATGTAAAAAAGTGTTAACAGGTACAAAAAACCATATCCAATATCAAAGATAACATCTCATATTCAGCCAAAAATTAATGAAATAAGACCAATAAAGGACTTTTGAAATAAGCATCAAGACAAGAGAAGAAGAAGAAGACCATCAAACCAAAATGTGAATAAGCTTTTTTTTTTCAGCTCTGCACCTGAGCAGCTGCTTCTGCAGCTTCTTTTTCTTCATTGGCTGCAGCCATTAGTTCATCAAACTTCTCTGACTTCACCAGAGTAATTTCGATCTGCAACACCAAAACACAAATGTTAAACCAAGCAAGCTGTAGATGAAAATCATAATAATCGATTGTAGTAATAAGTACGAAGAAGCGAAATTAGTTTTGGTCGAGAGAAACTACCTTAGCTTTCTGCACAGGACGTCCCCTCGAGTCATCCCTAATATCCACAGTGGAAGTCATGATCTCTACATAGGAAGAAACCATTATTCCGAAAAACAAAGCTTAGTCGCGAAATCTCCAATAGTATATAAGACACTAATTCAGAATATAAGTAAGATACTTACTCTTTTCAACAGCAAAACCATTGTTCTTGAGTATTTCAGCAACAGTAACAACAGTAGCAATGGCTACACATTTTTCATGTTGAAGAGAAACTTAATTAGAAATTATGAACTTTGTAATGAATGAAGCAAGTTGCATCTCTCATGAACCAGAGATTACTTAAGAGCATATTTACAACTAAAATACACAATCACAATCCCAATGTATACAGAAGAACAAACATACCCATCCCAAGGGCAGACAATTCGACATCATTGTACTGCTGCATGTACCTCTAAAACAAAAAACCAACAACAAAGAAAACTCAGTTAAAATCAATCTGTGGAATCGCAAATCACAGATCCTACACACACCAAGCGAAACTAAAAATCCCAATCCCTAAACCAAGCCCACCACATGAACACATGAATAAAGGGTAAAATCATCGATCGAGCGAGCCCAGAAATTTTCAAGGTTAGACGAAGAGTTCCATAGTACCTTGGCGAGATTGACGTAGAAGAACAATGGTTTCTTGGTGTTGGAAACCTGAATCCGATTCTTCTTCTGGGAATCAACGGACAAGTTGATGTTGTTCACTCCATCTGTGATCTCTTCCATGGAAGCTGATTCGGAATCTGTAACCCTAATTTTGGTTTGGAGGTAAGAAGAGGAAGAGGACGACTAAAATAAATTAACAGGAACAGGAGAGGCTTTGTGTGAGTTTGTGACCCAGAATACTTCCTTACTCACAATCCGGGTCAACCCGGTTCGTAAATCGGGTTGTATACTTTATTTTACTTGGAAACTATTTTTTCTTATTTGGAAATTAGCATGAATAACAAAAAAAAAACTA